CGGCATTGAACCTCTCAGCGACTCCACCTGCTTCTTAGAGTCCTCAAACCACGCCTGAAACGCGCCGAGGCCTTCTCCGAAGAGTCCGGACGGGGAGATCAGGGCGCTGAGAAACGCACTCAGATCTCGCTCAGGCAGGTTCACTAGGGTTAGCCAAAGATGACGCTGCGCCACCACAGTACCGGCCATAGCATGATCATTATTATGGTTTCTATGGCTAGGACCTGCAGTTCCTAAAAGGAATTAAGTTTACTACTAGACTAAAAACTGTTAAAGTTAACAGGTGCATAAGACAGCGCTATGTCCCACTTCAAAACACAATATTTTTACACTTTTGTGAATAATTACCTGTCAGGGTCTTTGAGAAAACGATGAAAGGCAAGATTTTTACTGTCACACTGATAGTTTTTTCAGAATAATTACCTGTCAGGGTCTTTGGGAAAACGATGAAAGGCAAGATTTTTACTGTCACACTAGTTTTGGCAGTGGATTGCACAACATTGCGTTCTTTTATTCCACTTTGACCTCTCTATCATTGTTATTCTGTCTGTTTCTGTGTATCTGTGCTGCTGTCCAGTTGGAATTTTCACTCGAAAATTGCGGCCGTGCTACCGAAGCGCCACCTAGTGGCTGTTACCCAAAAAGCATCAGAGTTTTGCCTCTTGGTCTTCTATACTCTGATGGAATGCGCTGCTCGTCTTTCAGTCACTCACTGAACAGAGCAGACGCTCAGAGGGGTGTGACTGCAGCGAGGAAACAAGACCTCGTGCGGTACTGGTGACATTTAGAGAGTCGCTAAGGTTTGTCCAAAAAGTCGCTAGATTTGTCGCTAGTCGCTTTTTGGAAAAAAAGTTGCTAAAGGGATCTGAAAAGTCGCTAAATCTAGTGACAAAGTCACCAATGCCAAGCCAACAGGTGGCGATATAGGCTGCATCCGAAAACTCTAAAATGCTCCCTTCAGAGGTAGCGTTCCAAGGCAGGAAGGCATCAAGGCACGTCCGAATCCAAATTCTGCTTTACTTCCTGTCTCTGGAGATACCTTCTTCTGATCAAATTTTGAAGGCAGCATAGATGTATCCTTCGCTGCCTTTGATATCCCCCAATCCTGTGCGTTCCATTCCGTGACGGTTGAGCTAAAAAATAAATAAAGATGGCGTCTGAAACTTGCGTTTGGTGGTCAGTTTCTGTGTAAATGTATACTTCTGACTAACTTTTTGCACTTTTGGTGTTATTTTTAGCGAGAAATCAGTATTATAGTAATTAAATATTCGTTTAGTTATC